TTACACGGTAAATATTCCTCAAAGGTCAGTTTCTGTGTTTGGAGCATCATCAACGTGGAATTCTGAGATTGAAGCTGAACTCTGGCAGCAGGACTGGATCTCCTCCTCAGGAGGAGTTGTCAGCGACTTGTGGTGGTCCAGAAGGTTTCACTTTGGTTAAAACATAAAATATCCAGTCTGATGTAAATAACAGGAGGATTCCACGATGCTGACACAAATAGCGCGGAATTGATTTTAAAATGTTAAAATCAATCAATTATTCATGATCAATATACTATATAGCTGCCAGTGTTAAGAAGAGAACCATCAAGCACGTCATGTGAAAGTTATTACAAACATTAAAAGGTTTCCAGGAAAAGGCAAAGATTATTATTGTATTTTCCAGCATATAATTCACAGTTTTTGCATATATTTCTCACTCCTGTGACTTATATGCCAAGGAGACTTATATACTTTTTTTTTCCATATTCATAACTCCATTTTTGACTGACACTTTAAATTTTCTAAGATCTGCAACAGCAAGTCCTCCCGTGTGTGCTCGCTTCACTCAGCTGGTGCTGGTGGAACGCTGGAGAGCTAGCGGCTCCGGCTGCGATGGATGGATGGATGGGTGGACGGATGGATGGATGGATGGATGGAGGATGGATGGATGGATGGATGGATGGATGGATGGATGGATGGATGGATTGCACCGTGCCACCCAGGCAAAATGAAGCTGTTTTGACCAATAAATAAATGCATAATAAATGCAACTTATACTCCAGAAAATACGGTACAAAGATGACTGCAACCTTTGGTGGAAGCCAGCGTTTGTGTGTTTCATGTTTAGGAATCATGAAAACATCCCATGTCAAAAATAACTGAACCATTGCTCTAGAACTGGACCAGAACCAGAGGAGACAGCACTGAAGGAGATATAAGAGCTCTGAAGATGATCGACACATTTCCACCACTGATATCAAAGAGAATGAACAAAATGTCTCGGCCTATGAAGACTTTGGTTTGAATGGAAACTCTTCTAAGCTGCAGAGCAAAACATTTTGCTTTGTTCATATCAGAAATTCTAATCTCAGATTTAGAAGTGTGATTATTGATGCATTTCAAACTATGAAGTTTTATAATCAAATCACGAGGTGCCTAAGCCGTGTAGCTAAAATATAATAACAGCTTTTGTATTTTCACGATACATTTAAAACTGGAAATATAAGCCCAACGCTGAACATGAGGAGGAGAGGGAACTCGTTTCCTTCGTTGTATTTTTGTCAAACCGTCTTCGGTGGAACGATTTGAACCTTCTGAGCTGGACACAGACGATCTGAACGACTGTCCGTGTTATGTAACTGAACAATAAAAAAGAAAGAAGCAGTGAGTGTGACAGCAGCAGACAGAAGGAATCTTAAAACCAGAACACACAAACACAGAGAGGCAGCACAACACACACACACACACACACACACACACACACACACACACACACACAGCCTCCAGGCTGTTGTCCTCTACATTTAGGTCACAGTGAAACTATCACACACACCCCAGGAGGCTCTCCTCACCTGCAAAGAGGCCAGTTTGGACACAGTGTCAAAGATTAAACCTGTGTTTTATCTCTGAATAGTGGGGGGGGGGGGGTGCTGCAGGGCGTGTGTTCACACTGTTTCTTTAAACCAGAGGGCAGAGGGTCACTGGAGAATACACATACACACACACACACATACACACACAGCTGGTCTCCTCTGAGTGCTCGGTCAAGTAGAAAGGTGGATCTGTGTCAGGTAACAAGGGTATTTACTGTTACTGAGACAAGCGGACCCAGAAAACAGCAACAACAGCACCAGTGGGGGGAGGGGGGGTGCAGAACCTGCGAGGTGAAGGAGGAATGGGGCGAACAGCAGCACCTCCGGGGCCTCGGCAGTCAACCGAACGCAGCCGTGCACAGCAAACTGTGTTCTGCAAAACTAATCAGAAAACACAGAGTTCAGAGGAGAAACGCCAACAGACAGAAAAACACGAGGAGCTCCAACATTACGCTACGATTAGAGACAAACTGGAGATCTTTCAGAACTTCAACACAGCTAAACTCCTGGTCTGGTTCACACACCGGACATGAAAGTCCCCCGACTCAGCTCTGATTTCTACAACAAACCAGAAACTCGTTTCTCTCTTTCACTGTAAAACATTTCAGTCTCACCAGCAGCTCCGATGTTTCAACCTTCAAACTTTACAGAAAATTAAGACTTTCTAACTGTACAATCACACTGCTGGTACATAAAGAATGCTTTTTTTTTCTTTCCTCAGATGAAAAACTCCACAGTCTGCTGAAGAAGACAGAAAATAAAGCATGTCATGTCACTGACATCACGTAGAAAGATACGGAGACCGAGGACAGGGCCAGGTGTCACGCCACAAAGAGTTTGCATTTTGTATAGAAGTGCAGCACAAACGCTGAAAGCTGTATAACTGGGAATTGTTACAGTTAAACCACAGAACAAAAACTAAAATCAGCAAATTCTAAAAAGCTATGAATAGAATAGCATAAAAGCAGCTAACTGAAAAAAATAGCTAAACAGTAGCTGAAGGTTAAAACTAACAAAGCAGTAGCTAAAAAATAAAACCAGCAGAACAGTAGCTAAATCGAGCAAACAGTAACAAAAGCTAAAAGAGGCAAAGCAATAGCTATAAGATAAAATCTGCACAACAGTAGTTTGTTAAAATAACTAGGAAAGCAGTAGCTGAAAGCTACAACTAGCACAATGGTAGCTGAAAGCAAAAGATGAAGTGTGATGAAGGAGATTTTGAATTAGCACCAAGTTACTGAAGTCATTTCTGGGGGGGAAAAAAGTAAACTATTAAAAATTATATGTTTTAAATACCAAAGGTCATCCCAGTATTGTCCTGAAGGAGCTGAACATTTTATCACCTGAACACTGAAATAGCTGAAAGTATGCTGAAGAGAGGAAAACAAAGGTGTGAACGCTGAATCAGCATCGTGATGGAACAACTCTCAGAATGCAACAAGATCTTTTATGATTATGTTGCAAACCAATCAAAGTATGCTGCTCTAACATACAGACATTTATCTTTTAGCTTTTTGCTAAGTAAATAGCTAAAATGATGGAATCATTATTTTTGTTTTTTTACTGTTTTGAAACAGAGACTTTTATTTTATGAAGACATCAAAAAATAAAACCAGCCCTGGAGCTAACATTCCTGTGCATCCCTGTAGGCCTTTCTGTTAATCTTTCAATTTGCCTATTTATTCACCCCCCCCCCCCCCCCCCCCCCCCCCCCCCCCCCCCCCCCCCCCC